CAGAAGCTACGCTGTCATTCGTGACATGGCCTCAGTTGTTTCCGCTGCAGAAACAGCTTAAGAATTTACAAACTGGCTCAAATTCAAGGAGAAAGCTCTAGATCCACATTTCAGTGGGAGAATACCAAGCCATAGGTAAAGGTGATATGAGTGAAAGATACCATGGTGTCTGGTTTAAGAAACTGTAATCTCCCGCAGACGTTACCTTAGACTAACTGAATTTCCCAGTGTGAAATGATTTGTACTTTATAGAAGAATGGGCAGCAAATCATGGCCTCATGCCTATTTTTATAAACAAAATTTCCTTGAAATACAGCCATGCCTATTCATTAGCAGAGTTGCTTAGCTGCAAAAGAGACCATATGTCCAGAAAAGGCAGTACTATTAATTATCCAGCCTGGGCAGTTTGCTAACTCTGTACATAGAATATTGATTAAGGATGTGGATGCTAGACTAGACTAATAGATTTCAAATGTCCTTGTTGACACAGGGTCTCTTGTCTCCCAGGACATTCTGATCCTCCTACCTCTACTTTCTAATTGCTGGGCTTCTAAGCCTATACAACCACACCTGCTTTATATAGTGCTGCATGCCGAACCTATTGCTTTAAGCATGCTTGGCAAACACTACCAGCTGAGCTCCATCCTCAACCCTAGTTGTGTGGTTTAGAACAAACCCCAAACATCTATAGACTGCCATTTTCCAGACAACGTAACAGTGGAAAGTCTGAAGTTTGAGTTATGAGCACTAAGTGATATAATTCACTAAAAATGTACAATAGGCAACCAAAAATGTTAATTTCTGTCATCAGAATTAGCTTTAAGCATCAGCAGCATAAACTGACAATTGGCTTATATGCTTGTTTCTAAAGTCTCACACCATACAGTTTTCAGTATACCCAACAATAGAGGAAGCCCATTTCATATTTATTTATATTATTAGATATTTGCTCCTTCGGCTGGGTTGTAATCTGTCTCTCGTAGCTTGACACCATCAATCCTGGCAATATTTTCTTAAAGTTCTATGAAAATATCTCTTCCAGCTCTTCAGTTCTTTAAGTACAAGGCAAGGCTCCTGTGGGTGTTAGCTGCTCTTGACTACGTATCTTCTGTTCCTTCTGTCCTTTCTCCTGAGACTCTCCTTAACCTTGGGATAATTCTCTTCAAAAGTCATTTTCCCCGAAATTAGCAAACTAAATGTCTCAGACCTGCACAGAGTCCAGCTTGAGCCCTGAACTCTTCATATTCTTCTGGTGGCATAGACTTTTTTGACTTCTCCTGCTCTGGAAGGCTTCATTGATTGGGTAGTAGGCTGGCTGTTCTTGTCATTGTCACTGTTGCTTGTTTTGTTTTTCTTCCTTATATGCCTCAGCAGCTTGTTATATTTACTCTTCTGTGTTTAATTTTATACAAAAATAACCTCATCAGATTTATTCAATTACTAGAACTATATTCTAGAATTTTCACTGGCCCTGCCAGCCTTAAACTTTCACATAGATTTCTAATGTCTCAGTCCAAGTCACTTCTAAATATTCCATTAGGTTGAAATCAATCCCATGTGTGGTCTGAATGCAATTGAAGTAGCTAGGCACCATTTTAATGATTGCAGTGGCTCCCCTGGACTCCCCGTGACCATCACTATTCAACCAGTCTCATGTAAGGTATCATTCCTCTGACTAAGAAAACTTGAAAGTAAGTATGCATACACATGGAAATGTAGGCATTTCTCTTTATCTTCAAATATTACACCTTGAAACAGGCAATAGCTGTGTATCAGTCAAGGATCTGTAGAGACAGGAAACCAAGAGAAGAGAAAGATTTCAGCAATAGCTCACATGTTTGAAGAGAGTTGGTAATTCCAAACTCTCTAGGGTTAGTTGGCAGCCTAGAGATCTGAAAAGGTTTTACTGAGAATCCAATAGAAGTCTGCTTGCAGAATTTATCTTACTCAGCTGAAATCGGTCTTCATTTTCTTTTCACTATAGGGAAAGATTGGGTTTTTGGTTTGCATTTTGTTTTGTGTTGGGTTGGGTTGGCTTGGATTGAATTAGGTTTTTGTATTTTGGTTTTAAGCTTTCTCCTTAATTTTTGATATCATATTTTAATGAAGACATTTATCCCTTCCCTTGCTTTCTTCCAAACTCTCCCATATACCTGTCTCCACTCTCCTTCAAACTCATGGCCTCTTTTTTCATTGTTATTGTGTGTGCACACATACACACACACACGCGCGCGTATGTATGTATTCCCACATATAGCCTATTGAGCCCATATAATGTCAGCTGTATGTATGTTTTCAGTGCTGTTTGGCACTGGACAACGGAATAGTCTTCTCTTCCCAGGTGAGCGCCATCTCTTCCACTCTCAATGTTACTCAGTTTCCTGTAGTTCCTTGTGTAAGACTGGGGCCTCCTGGAATTTTCTCCGGGAAGTTTTTGTGTTCTTTGGTATCGTTCTTGTTCCACCCATGTTTGGGAGGTCATGTTGGTAAGACATCACAGGTGCAGCTCCTGATGTTACTAGGAGACATAACCTCACAGCAATGTCCCTGGATCCTCTAGCCCTAACAATGTTTCTACCTCTCCTTATTCAGTGTTTCCAGTGTTTTGTAGATGTAGCCATTGAGCCTGGGCTCTGCAATTATGCATATTAATTGATTGTGATTTTTCTATATTTCAAAGAAAAGTATCCTTGGAAAGGAGTGAAGATTACAGGTATATCTTGGCATAGAGACATCTTTTTATATATTGTAGTTAGGTATTGTGCTGGCTTAGTAAATTAGTGGTTGTAGAGTCTCCTCCAATAACCGTAATTTCACTAGCATTTTAGCTAGGTTTCTAGTACCAAAAATGGTCTCCCTTTTGTTGAGTGGGTCTTAAGTCCAATTAGAGAGCCATTAGTTACCTCCAAGGAATATGTGCCACTAATGTACACATTGGGTTATCTTGCCATGCTGGTATTGTTGTGGTTTATAGATATCATATCTGGGTACGACTGCCTCTTGTATCTCTCCTTTGCAAACTTGTGTGACACCTTCTGGTATCATGAAAGCTAGGAAGGGGACATTCAGGTCAATTCAAGCTCAGGGCCCTCTAGGCCACGTTTCTGAAGTTCATGGTATCTTTAGCAATAAGAACTTACCTTTCACCTCTAGGAGTAATCATGGGCAGCAGCAATAAGCTGTGTTTTAGGAGACTCTCGTAGACAACTCTGACCAACAACTCGAAATAGGGATTCTAGTATTGGGGGTTTTGTTAGGTGGTTTTCATTTTCGTATCATCAGCTGCTTAAATGAGGCCTAGCAGCAATGTGAAGGGTAATAAATTTTGCTCAAGATTCTTTGATTTTAAGTTTCAATCTAATGCAAAAAAAAAAAAAAAAAGCAAAAGTCATCTTCTCAGAAACATGCATATGTGCAAATATTTGCACCAAGGTCCAGTCAGGTTAGGATATAACATAAACCATGAAACTATCTCTAACTTCTTTTTTTTTTCTTGAAGAAAAAAAATGGTAAGAGTACAGCTTTATGAAGTCTAGATTTATGTTTTGATAGTTAAATTATTTTATAGTATACAATCTGTTATGTAGATCTATGACTACGTATCTATTCTCATGGCTTGACATAGTGAAATACAATATAACCAGTTAATTGTTTTACCATATTTAATTATAAAATCTAAGGGCATATATTTCCTGAATTCATACCACTCACCAGTCATATGTGCCTACCAAAAAAGACTGGGAGTAGAGTGGAATGAGAGCGCAACACAATAATTTTAAAATTAACCCTGCTGGAAGTGTCAGAATCTATATTCAACATACAGTAAGGATAGGTTTGTGTTTTATCATTTACTTTGCTGTTTTAAAATTTTCACCTTTATTGGAGCATCAGTTTCTGCAGGGCCCCTGAGCCCAGATTTTTTGGTTATGTTGATCTCCTTGTGGAGCTTCTGTCCCCCGCAGATCTTTCTGTCTCCCCCTTCTTCCATAAGATTCCCTGCACTCTGCCTAGACCCCCTGCTCAGATACAGCCCATAGGCAGCTCAGTTTCCAAATGGGTTTCCTAGTAAGAGGCTGTTTCTGACATGAACTCAGTGGCTGGCTCTTTGATCACTTCCCCGTGTGAGGAGAGGGGGTTCAGCGTTACTAGAGGAAGACAATGAAGCCAGTCCTGAAGAAACCTGATAGGCTAGGGTCAGATAGGAGGGAAGAGGACCTCTCCTATCAGTGGACTAGGGGAGGGGCATAGAGGTAGGAAGTGGGACTGGGAAGAGATGAGGGAGGGGTTACAGCAAGGATACAAAGTGAATAAACTGCAATAAATAATAAATTAATAATTTTATTCCAACTTTGTAATTTCAATTTTTAAATTCTGGTAATATATTTTTAAATGATTTGACAAAATTATCTAAAATAAGTATCTATACAAAGAAGATATCCAAGCATTAAATTCTAGTTCAGTAAAATAATTGTGATGAGAATCTTCGCGGATGAAAAAGTGCCAGGATACTGTTTATAGAAATAATTTTAGGGAACTAGTTTTCTTGTTTGTTTGTTTGTTTGTTTGTTTGTTTTTGCTGTTGTTGTTCCACACATTTGTGAACCCGGATTTTATTTTATTTTATTTTATTTTTTTTGTTAAGCACCTATGGCAAATTATTCAGTTGAGAACTTAGGAGACTTGTAGGAGGCTGGAGAGATGACTCAGTACTTAAGAACAGTTGCTGCTCTTCCAGAGGACCCAAGTTCAGCACCCAGCATCCACAGCCAGCAGTTTATTACACCTGCAACTCTAGTTCCAGGGATGCAACATAATCTTCTGGCCTCCAGAGATACTCACATCCACATATTCTCACACACACACACACACGCACACACACCCACAAACAAATACTTTAAAAATAAAACATTTTTAAAGTAATTTGTAAATGTTTCATAACTTCTATTAATTTCTTTGTTGATTGAAATTTACCCTTCACTTTTGTTTTACCTTCTCTTTAGGTTTGGATGTGTGGAGGAGAAATGTTTGACGTTCCGTGTTCTAGAGTTGGTCATATCTACAGGAAGTACGTCCCTTACAAAGTTCCTTCTGGGACCAGCTTGGCAAGAGTGAGTACCTGGGCATAAGAACAGGCTGGGTTCATACAAGCTCTGCTTCCTGCAGGTTGGGTAACCAACCATACACGTGGGATAAGCAAAGATACTGTCTTCCAGAACCTTCTGCATATCAAGAATTCCCATGCCTCAGCTTTATCTCCATTGCTTAAGGAAGTATTAGCGGACCGGTTTTGTTATGTATCAAAGCATCTTCACATGTGTTGTATTTACTATTAACCATTATCTTCTGGCTAATCTTGGTTAGTAATGTTAAATATTGGATCACCATCAGTGATCCATCAGGCTATATGCTTATTTACAGTGTCACCTACTGCTACTTGCTTTCAAGACCAAGTGGAGGCTTACTTAGCTGGCTTGCTCATAAATATATGAATGACCAACATTAGTCAAGTAAAGCCAAGCCTGCAAGATGGATGACCATCTTTCTCCCAACGTGGTGTAAAATAAGGAACATAATTAGTCAAATAAAGAGTGAAAGATATTGGGGAAGTAGACATTAAACTCACTTTTCTCCTCCTTTAGAACCAGAGTTAATGCTGGATAAAGATTTAGACCATCCTCAAATTTCCAGTAATTAACTAAGTCTAGTCTTGTTTTGTTTTGTTTTGTTTAGAATATTTTTTTCGTGAAGTTCAAATGCAAGGACAGTTTTATTGTCTGCCTTTTAGAAGCTGCCATGCCTGCTTGGGAATATATAAAATCACAAACCTTCCCTGAACAACCCGGCAATATCTGTTTTTCATGTTACTTTCTTCATGGTCATGTCTGTTCTCTTCACTACAGCGTGTAAGTGCTACAGCTGAGATGCCAATCTAAAAGGAGGGTGTTTTCCAGATGCCTTGGTGCTATGCTTCCCGAGGAATCTGATCTTGAGCTATTCGCTTTCTTTACTAAGGTGCAATGGGTAAACAATTGGGCTTTTTTTTATAAGAGTTAGTAAACTCAACTAGTTTTTGTAAAGCACAATAATGATAATAGTAATAATAACAGTACTTTTTATCATTCTCATCATCAACTATCTCACCAGGATTCATCAGTCTCTCAAGGGCAGAGGTTTGGGTCTATTATTTTATATTATTCCATCATCTAAAATAGTGTGTGGAGAATATTCACATGACTTAATGAAGAAATTAATTAATTATAAATCTCAAGGGGAAAAAAAACTGGTTAAAGCCAGGGACACTGGTGCACACCTGTAATTCCAGCACTCAGGGATGCAGAGGCAGGAGAATTGCTATGAGTTCAAGGCCAGCAAGTCCAGGACAGCCACAGCTGTGAAACTCTGTCTCAAAAAAATAAAGATAAAAACACATAGGTTCAAGTTATTACCAAAATGTAGTCATCTTAGTGAATTTTAATAAAATTGTCATCCTTAAAATGTCTCTTCCAGCTCTTGTTCTTGCTCCCTTGCTTTGTGTTCACATTTTTCTCTATCCCATCCACAACCCTTTTAACAATAGTGAGACATTCTAGCATTAAATTATATTTTATTAGTCTTGGTATCTCCTTTGATACCCTGGTGGGTAAAGTCTTTCAGAGGTCCTCTGTGGAAGGCTCCTGAACTGTTACTTGTCTTCTCCTACTTCCAATGTCTATACTGTTTGCCCATCTGAATGAGAATTAAGCACCTTCCCTGGGCTCCTCCTTATTGTTTAAATAGGACTATAGATTCTAGTATGTTTATCCTATATTATATAGCTAATATCCACTTATTAGTGAGTATATACTATACCATATGTGTCTTTCTACTTCTGGGTTACCTCACTTGGGATGATCTTTTCTAGCTCCCACCATTTGCCTGCAAATGTCATGATTTCCTTATTTTTAATTGCTGAGTAGTATTCCATTGGGTAAATGTACCAGACTTTCTGTATCCATTCCTCCATTGAGGGACATCTGGGTTGCTTCCTGGCCACAGAGGAAAATGATGCAGCCAGCCTTAATGAGACCTGATAGGCTAGGGTCAGAGAGAAGGGGAGGAGGTCTTCCTCTATCAGGGAACTAAGGAAAAGGCATAGGGGGAGAAGAGGGAGGGTGAGTGGGACTGGAAGAAGACAAAGGAGGGAGCTGCAGCGAGGATACGGGTGAATAAATTGTAATTAATAAATAAATAAAATAATTTTTAATTATATTATATTGCACATTCCACTCCCCCTTCCTCCTAAACAATAAGATATAAATAACACACTGAAGTAAATATGTGCTTAAAAGCACTGTTTGGAGAAAAACAGTTACAAAATCATAAACTGATTAAAGAGCTACATTTTGGAAAAAGAAGCACCGTTTAATTGAGTCATAAGACTTAATGCATATGAATGATAAAGCAACAAAACTTCCTGGGAAAGTTCTGAAGTGAACAAATTGAAGCACACATTGCAAATTGGCTCTGTGGCTATCACTGCTGTGTAAAACACCTACAGGTAATGAATGGTGTCCTGCCATTTATCTGCTTTCCTTCACTCGTTCTCCTCGACATGTGCCTCATTCATTTGTGGGTGGATGGTGCGAGCTGCTGGCTCGTCGTGTAAAACATGAGTGGGGAAAGCAGTGCTGATCCAAAAAGGGGTTGTTTTCAGAAAATCAAACAGCTCATTTATTTTGGGAAAGAAATGAAGCGCTTTTTCAAAAACTGTCAAATACGGGGAAACTAGGCTTAGCACATAAAACATCCAGGAAAAAGTGAATATTCGTTCAAATAAGAGAAGTCCATAACTCTGAATTTTAATCTCTTCCACTTAAATTTTACTTGAGGGCTCATTTTAGTTTTTTCCTAAACTGCTACAGCAATCAGAAAGTCATAAATACTGAGGCCTAACTGTCACTCTAAGGAATATTTTATGATCTTTTAAAGTGTATTAAAATGAAAAACAATTCTGATATTTTTGTGGGAGAAACTCAGCTACTTTGCTACACTCTGCAATTAGTAAATCATCAAAAAAGATGAGAAACTGTCAAAATAATTGAGATGAAGTCACATCTAGTCAGTAGATATTTTAATCTTCCTGGTCTCATTAGCCGAAGCTGGAAACGTGACCCCAAAAGCTTGTTTATGTACTTTACAAAGCTCATTTAATCCGGCGAAAATGTGTACTTTTCGTTGATGGACCTAGGTAAATGGATGATTTCAGCTACCTTCAAATGCACAGATGTACAGGCAGACACACGTGCACACACACTCACTTACACTCCTGCACACACACACACACACATTCACACACACACGCTGAAGTCCTCTAGACAGCACACTACCATATATTATACAAATTCAAATAGCCATATTCAACACTTTCTCCTTAGCACTATACTCTGACAGAAGGACATGACACAGCTATGTATCTGTGAAACACATGATAACCAATTGTTCTCCCATTGCTCTGGGAACATGTGTCTAAACATCAGAAGGATATGCAGTGCTATTCTGGTTCTGACCCTCAGTCCTTGCAAATAAAAGACTTTAAAGAAGGTCATTAAGAATACCTTAGTTTAATTAATAGATTTCTAAAAACAGGGTTTTAAAATTCAGAAGAAATGACCAGAGCTAACTCCTGGCCAAGTTTTCCCCCAGTCTCCAGTGAACTGAGAAAAATAAGGATCACAAAGCTGCATTTGCTCAATCTAGCAAAATAAGTTGTGTGCATTCATATAGGGTTCTGTCTTACGAGGGGATTCAAGACAGTCTGTTTGTTATTGTCAACATTCTCATTAAGTAAAAGCAAAAACTAACCCCCTTGTGTTATTTCTACAAAATGCAAAAATCTGGGAGGTGGTGACTTACAATTCATCTTCATATGGAAATCAGATGCTTGGCACTCAAAATCGTATTTATTTTTCTAAGTCAACATGAGACTGAATGTCAGCACACTGGAGTGCAATGATGGGAACTTCTGCCAGGAGTAAATGGTCAGTTCCTGCAGAAAGGATCTTCATCTCTACATAGAATAGACTCTCATTTCTACATGAGAACAGAAACACTCGTGTTGTGGAGACCGTTATCCACTCCATAATGGCAGTGATTGAGGTTCAACCCAGGAGAATGAGCAGCAAAGAATGGCTGCAAAATGTTTTGGTCCACCAGATATGGCCGAGTTGACAAATGAGTAGAAGAGTCCCACGTCCATCTTCTCTTTCTGACAAATGTTCTGCTAGAGAAGGAGTAATTACTAGCACTTTGGGGTCTGGGAGAGGAACTCAGACTCTTCTGTAATTGCTAGTGTCTTCCAAGATCTGTCAAAGCCACCAGATTTAAAAGGGTAACTAATAGTAGGGATGTGAGGAAAGTGCAGATGCCCTACACAAACCACTCCAACTGACTAACACAATCGTAGGCATGGTGTCATCTTGGTCCAGGGAATTTGCCCTAGAAGAATATCCCAAAGAAAGCAACACATAGACTGTGAGGCGTGCAGTCCTGGAAGCACACACGCACCTGACCTCCTCCTGCCAGCATGAGATAAGGCTGGAATCGACTGTGGGAAAGGAGAGTGTTCATTTGTCTGTAAATTTACATGTATGTGCATGGCCGTACAAGCCAGAGATCAACCTCCAGTGTTGTCCCTCACAGCCTTCCATTTTTTCTGGTAAAACAAGGTCTCTCACAGGACCTGGGGCTTGAGATGCAAACATTAGCCAGCAAGCCCTAGGGATCCACTTGTCTCCACATGCCTAGTACTGAGATTACAGGCATGCACCACGATGCCTGCTTTTTTATGTAAGTGCTGGGGATCAAAGTCGGGTCCTCAGGCTTGCACAAAAGACATTAAACAACCTTTCTACCACCAAGCCTAGACTCAAGCCCTATCATAAATCTGTAAAGAACCCCCCCCATCCAGTGCATATCAGGCAAGACTTCATACCCAAACATTTCACTTTGACGTGTCAGTAATTTATTTTTGATTCTCAAATTTCATCCTGACTTTTACACCAACCATTCAAGAATATGAAGAAATTTAGATTTTTTTTTTTACAGGTTTCAGGCTAAAAGCTGAAGTCAA